CATTAATATAAAAAAAAAATCGTTTAAAAATTTGTTATAAAGAATGTACGATAATGCCGACTATTGAGAATTTGCTAAAATGGGAGATGAGAAACGTTATTTTCCAAAATTAGATACCTTTAATAAATAGATAATTATTAACACATTAATGTAATACCATTTAGTGACTGATCACGGTACTGGGCGAAAATATCTTTGAAGTTTAAGTATGTAATTATTAAAAATTAAAGTTTTTTAATTATTTATTTACGACATATGGTAAAAAGGGGTGCGAGGAAAACTGTTATCTTCCCCAATCCCTTTATGTGACAGGTCTGAATAATAATGTATGTATTAGGATACAATACATTTACAACATAAATAAAGCAAAACATAAAAATTATTTTACCATTTTATTTTGGCAGATTTTTCTTCAGAGATATTACCGAGGTTATACCAGCATATTAATTAAGCGTTAGTTTAGAGGTGACTTGCATGATATTATTGTAAATAATTACATGTAATACGAAGACATTATTTTATGGGGAAATATTCTCTAATTTGTGAAATCCTTCAAAAACTTTCGTAAGTTTAAGAACCGAACTAAGTAGTTGGGCATATACTAAGGCTTTTACTTTCTGTTTACGTTTTGGTTGGATTATCATGATTGTTTTAGTGCTAGAAAAACTATGGAGACGAGACAGAATGTTAGAAAAAATGTTATCTTACGAAATGTACAGACTCGAAATCAGCGTATTTTCAATATATATAAGAACAAAAAGCATAAACCTCAAATAATTGTTGTCGGGGGGTAGTTACAACACACATCAAAAGAAATATAGTAAGATACTTCATATTTCTGATCAGAGATATAGGCAAAGATATTAATCTCCCAAAAGAACATATAGTCCTGAAAAGTGTGTAGGTTTTAGGTCTTTAGTTTAATAGAAATAAAAACTAATGAACTCAATCCACGCGTGGATCCAGTAACGCCTGCGTCCGCGCGTGCATTTAATATTGTGTTGCAAATTGTTTCCCGCCGAATCCCACTCCCAGGGTCCGCCATTGATTGAGACATCGCCAACATCGTTTAAGCCGTTTTACCCTCCCCGCCAGTCCGTACACCGGTGGTAACACACTCAAAATCTTATTGCAACACATCAAAGGTGATATTTGAACGTTCCCTCACGGAGCCAACTGTAAAACTAAGTTTGGGCGTGTAAAGTGTGTCGTCATAACTCACATATATAGTCGGAAACTATTATTTGCTGCGGTCTCAATACATTGTATGGTGAAGCAAAAGACGTTCTATTTTTGTTTATGGAATGAGAAAGTCGGAGAGCCAGCGTCGTAAGATTGGCTTTTATTCAATACATTGTTCACGACAATGATACATGCGCGATTATTTGCCTTTTAAAATAAGCGACGAAAACAAATATTACCAACTGCAGCATTCCTATTATCTTACATTTAATAATGCAATTGAAAAGTATTAATGAAACCGCTGTATTTTGCTTTTATCGATATTTTAGTGACCCACTGCCATGTCAAGATAAGTCGTCTTGTGACTATTTGAATGTAGGGAATTAATTACAAGTGTGTGAAGTCGCGTACCTTGTACAATTTAGGAACACTAATTATACGTTGTCAAAATAAACTGTAACATTAAACTAAAGATAACCATCCAAGAACCATCTGAATACGAACATCCTACATTTATCTGTATAAAGTCTAACGACCTGTAGGTGAAATTTTCAATGTAACAAGTTCTGGTCTAGCGAAACATCGCAAAGAAACCTACAAGAAAAAATAGAATTTAAAAATAATGTAACTTAAACCAAATCTCTCGGATACCTCATGCCATACATTAAACATTAGCTCTTTAAAAGTTTAACAGTTTTTTTGTATAAAGCAACAAAAATATCTTATGGTATTTACAAAGGTATGTTTTTCGCCAATAAATAACATGTTGTTATTGTTTTGGAAAAATAACTTTCGCTCTAGAAAATAATTCCACAGACAGACTTTGAACAATTATTTATGGGTCAAACAATTGATTCCACTTGCAAACACAACATTGCGCGCAGTAACGCAGTAAGTTCGCAAAGAGACCATCTAAAGCTTTGAGCTATCGGGGGAGTGAATATATAGTTATAATATATAATTATGAATATATAGTGAATATGTATATATTCAGATTTAATTCTTCTCTCGTGTATTTATTTATATATATTATATATTTATTTATGTTTATGTATGTTTATTATAATTTTGTTTATCTTATTATATTTAAGTCTATTTTGGTATTAAGTAAGTTTATTGAGCACACCACCTCCCACTATTCATTAGTTTATTTTTCCTCGTCCTAAGGTTGTCTGGAAGAGATCGCTTTTTAGCGATAAGACCGCCTTATTGTACCTAGCTTTTAAGACTTATTTCATACTAATTGTATCAAATTCTTTGTGGTGTACAATAAAGTATATTATAATAATAATAATAGTTCTTTATATTCATCATCATCATCATCATTTAAGCCTATTTGAGTGTACAGCTGAACATAGGCCTCCCTCATAGACTGCCACGAAGTACAATCCAGAGCCACATCCCGGCAGTTGTATTCTTACACACTAATGAAACGTGTATATGTTGCTTTTTACCCCGACAATAGGGTACATTAAGTCAGGCTACTACTTCGCAAAAGCAACAAAGTCTCCGACGCGAATTCCGCCGTTTTAAAAGAACCACCGCCCGCACCCGTTCGCGTAATGACCGAGAGTTAATTCGCGCTCCGTCGTCCGCGAGGCAAAACAATCCGGCCCTACGGAGAGAGACATCAAATTGAAAATCACCCGAGCTGTTGCCGGCCGGCAATAACTCCGCTTTTATTACTTTGATATATTGCCTGTACAAATCGTGATTACGCTAGTGAAAATGTCGTTTCAACAAAACACTGTATTAAAAAAATGAATAATGACTTCTTTACCGACTACGCCATTACAGAGCGCGGTCACCGGCTCGCTCGGAGAGATTCCTATCACCGGGCACGAGGCGCCCGAGCGATTTGCCATCTTAAAACTGAGAGCAGAAAGTTCATATTCGTGTCAGCGTTTACAAAAGTGCCGCAGAGTAATTTGTATTTTAATATGGATCAATTTAAAGTGCATTTTCAATTGTATACGTCGGCGGCCGTAAATCGTGGACTCTATTTGAGGTTTCCACGTGATTGTGGCGTGGCGAATCGGATTGACAGGTAAGAAGGTTATTATTATCACATTTTACATGTAGTACATGCATTTACATAAAATAAGTCGATGTTATTACTCCCGAGTCGTGCTGTATGACTTGCTGGGGCGCGATGCGAGCTCCGAATTGCGGTTTTTTTTTTTTTCATTTAGCGAACATACGACGGACGAGACGAGATTGAAACGTGTCCGAATTAAATATGTACCCATTTTACGTGAATTCGCAACGGGTATCATTCCGATTTAATACGAGGAAATAAATTTTAAATTTTTTTTCATTTAGAAATAAATTTTGGTGTGAGAAGTACGTATCATGGGGTATTATGCGTGATTTATTACGGTAATGGCTTAATATTAACTCGCATAACGTGCTACATTAACGTTTGTAAGAATAAATTTCAGAAAAACGACTCAATAGCTCTCTGTACCTATCTAAATACTCAAGTATGTTAAATATATAATCAAATTCAATGAAAGCATTTAAACACCCCAAAACAAAAATTTCAGTGAGTGTTACTAGTACTTCTAAACAACAAAGTAAAATTTGAATTGACTTCTGACGTTTTGAAGGCTATTATTAAAGTTCATAACTGTTGAAAAAATGCTGCCCGTAACTACTTATCTATTTTACGATTATGGTTCGAAAATGTATTATGACGTGTAACATCTGTAATATTGCGGCAGCAAGTCCCATATGGTATAACCATAAATTATCCCGACAATATATACGTATTCAACAAAAACAGGTAACATATTGTAATTAAAAATTAGAAAAGATAATCTTTACAGATCATAGCAGATTTGTTATAAAAAGGGTTGAGAACATGGCATTATATTACCCTATTTTACCCAATTTTTACTCTATTATATTTTAGAATAGTTAAATTATTCCTTGAAAATTATCAAATAAAAAATAAATTAAGAAGGAGTAATTAATCAACTGCTCAAACAATTGTCACATTATCTAAAAAGAATTTCTAATATAGTACAGGCAAATTTTGACCTCTTTATAATTTGCTGCTAGATCTAGCATTCCTTAGAGTTGAACATTGTGAACATTATCTAGTATATAAAATTCTTGTATCACAGTGATAATGTTTATACTCCTCCGAAACGGCTTGACCGATTTTGATGAAATTTTATATGTATGTTCAGTAGGTATGAGAATAGTTTTATAAGTAATTTTTTTTTTCTACCCTAAAAATAATTTATATGGCAAAAAAACGTTTGCCGTGTCAGCTAGTATATTATACAGCGTGTCGTTACCATCGCGACAATAAATGAACACAGGTCTAACGCTACTTGCCAATAATCATAAAAAAATATTAACGTTAAATAAAATCTATAATTAAAAAAAAATATTTTTCAAACAAACTAATTAAGTAAAAAAGAAACAAAATTTGTAACATCCTATACAACTCGCGCCACAGCGTCGCATTACAAGCCTCTCCTTCTAACAGTAAGTTTTGTCTCTTTTAAATTAATTCAACGCATTCATATGCTTTGTGACCTTTACAATGAACTTTACGTTACAGTTTTATACGTAAGGGTGGTCTAAAATTCTTTGTTTTGGAAAATTTAATAACTCTGTAAATATTGATGTTTAAAGAATGTAAATGTTTAATACAATTTTAAAAAGTTATACCCTATATGCGTGTTCATTTATTGTCGCGATTGTAAAGACATGCTGTATAATATAATTTCGAAGCAACCTCAAACCTCAAATTCTCTAATATCTATAGAATGGAATTAGCTCATAAGTAGAAATAGTTTTGACACATGTCTTCGATAATAGCCAACGTCTCTTCAGTCCCGTTGGACGGGTCGCCTATAAATAACACTGTCCGTAGCATCACAGGGCCCATAATGCCAATTGACGGCGACGTCTTCACAGACGCCAAGCACGGGGCTTTGTTCGTTAAACCTTCATATATAATTAAGGAGGCGAGCCGGCCGGCCTCACTAAAACACATAAATCATAATAATTTAATGCGCTCGGAGCCTTTCTCGCGCGGTGCTCCTAAAGAGTTTTTTCCGAGGCGCGGCCGTAAGGGCATCTGCGCCCCCTCCGCCTTAACCCGAAACGACTGAGAAATTGACAGCTTTATAAATAACGACCGATGTCCGTCGCGGCGCGGTTTGTTTGGGAGTCCGTTGTGAATAACTCCGTTGTAAATATAGAGGACTGCGGGCGCTCTAATATATTAAAAACGCATCCGACGAGTCCCGACGGCGGAGGCGCGAAGAAATGCCCAACGATATCGAGCCTTCGGTTCTCGGTTCGCCTTTTTAGTCGTGAATACGTGTCGTGATTGCGTCAATTACTGCGTTTTCGTGTGTTAACATTTGTTCGCGGTTTAATGACTTTTTTTCACTGCTGTATTCAAGCCTTTGAGGTTTTCGTGTTAAATTTCTTGTCGCTACTTAAGACAAGATCATGATTTTACTAAGTCCCTTTGATTTATACAAGCTTTCGCGTTTTGTGATTGGCATCGGGATTGATCGGGGTAATGACATCCTATTTCTCTATTTATTAAAATGAACAAAAAATAACTATAGGGATTTCTAAATATAACTTAAAGGGGTAGACAGCTTATACTTATGCAGACTTCATTAAGTTTAGTCTAAGTTGTGTCTTCGTTGAGTACCCCAAACTTTTAGTACACATGTCAACGTCAGCAACTACGAATCTACCTTTAAGACCACTTCAAAACTCCGAGTTCTTATTTAAATATAATATGAAACACATTTATCTTCGTTACTGTCCTTAACTGTTGCACCGACAAATACAATTATTTTAATGGTCTTAATGCTTTATGTTTTAAAGATTTGTTGAAACGACTAAACTTGACAGTGGCACGAGCTGCGAAGATATTATGGAGGGAGGAAGGGTGGGAAGGGAGGAATTATGGCACCTATGGAAATGATGAGGCATGTGACTAGTAGTGTGTTGAGTACGAATGTGGTTGGAGGTTGTAAGGCTAGAGGAAGACCAAGAAAGATTTGGATGAACTTTGTGAAGAATGATGTATCTGTGAAAGGGGTGGGTATTGAGATGTAGGCTAAAAGAGGAAACTGGAAAGTAATTAAATAATGCACCTAGATTTGTTGAAACAACACTAGAGATGTTGTACGCGAGTTGACAAAACATCGAGAGTGCAGACTTAGCTTTACATAAAAACTTCTGTTTTACTGTTTTTTCCACCACTATCACTTAAAGTAGCACGAGCAACAGCTATTTTTGCATTTATTATCTTTTATAGCAAATAAGAAATATATACCTAACAAACCAATTTAGACTATCGGTAGGATGTGCTTAATAAAATTCAAACTGAAAAGAGACCCATTGAAATGGACTTCGACTAGGTTTCTGATTAATGTATTACAGGTATAAATTTGCACAAATTCTTAAGGAAAAATATAAAAAATATGTAAATCCAGGAGATGTGGAAAGCAATAATTTAACTGATCCGTCGTCACAAGTTACCAAAGCTCATTCAGACTAACCTGATCAACATCAGAACGCCGTTTTTAAATAAAAAGTAAGGTTCGATCAGTTCTTCTAACACCGAAAAACTTCTAAAAGAAACTTTGCCGTATATTATAACTTTACTAGCTGCTGCCCGCGACTACGTCTGCTTAAAATAGGCTGAAGGCGTAACATTCAGACAGAACGACAGATGTACATAAAATATGTATATAAATTATAACCTATGTCTTATTCTGATGTATAAGCTATATGATTGTAAAGTTTCACTAAAATCCATTCAGTAGTTTTTGTGTAAAAGTGTAACAAACATCCATCCATACATACAAACTTTCGCCATTATAATATTAGTAACGATTGTAATGTTCAAATTCAACATAATAAAATAGTGAAATCGTAATTTACCATGTTTTATATTATCCGTTTCTTTTCTGTTACCGACTTCGGTCTTCTACGATATTACTATCCGAATCATTTCTAACTTTCACTTAAAAGAGATAAGAGTCATAAAAGCCACATTAAGTACTCGAATACGACCATTCAAAACATGCATTACACGTAATAAAACGAATGTCACGATCGTTAAGTGACCACTAATTCACTTATTAACACAAATATTAACACCATTTTAACAACGAGATATTTTTTTGTTTTTTAGCATTCCTCGCAACGGGGGACCTAACGACCGGTTTCAACCTTTCTAAGCTGCGTTTCCGTATTTCTAATATTTTGACCGGTAAATTTATTGTTTTACGCTTCATTATGAACTATCATATCACGGAAATTTATTTTTATTTATTGTCACATTAAATGTTATGACATCATAAAATAAGTTAATGTTGAGCGGCTCGACATTTATTGTGTCTATAAATTAATTATTATTATTCGAAATTTGTAATTGAAATTAATGCATAAGAATCTAGTGTTGCATAAAAAAACGAAAGTAAAACGTCTCTTTATTGAGTGTGCATGTTATTTCGCATCAAAAAGGCATATTTACATTTCAGGCAGACAGATAAACATGAATCTATGTTTATCGAACAATTCTGTCTGCCTGTGAATCCTGTCCAACTTTGGTGATGAAAAGTTTTATTTTCGGAAAAAATATTAATGGCTAATTTCTATCGACAAACAGAAAAATAAGCAGGTTATATTTGAATTTTGAATTAACTATAATTCTGCAAATATTACTTTATTTATATATAGAACATTTTATATGTATGATACATTAAAAACTTCAACGAAGACATTTGCTCATTTACGTGTGAATTTTATCTATGGTCTGTTATATTTTTGCAATTCACATATGAAATTTTAATAATGAGGTTAAATTAAGTAAAATTTTATCTAAAGCTAATATTGAAAATTGGTCAGGATTATTTCAGGTAATTCAGGTTAATTTCAGTATCCTGCTTTGCTTTTATTCGAAGATAATACAATCAAGTATTTTTGCCAAAGTTAAATAAAATATAAAAATGTAATAATGATTACTCACAGAGATTTTACTGAACTAGTGCGATTACCCCTACACAAGACATCAGTACTCGCCATGAGGCGGAACGCAAGTTAAACAGACGCCAATTGTCGATTAAAAAAAAAAAAAGGTAAAGATAGACTCGGACTCAAAGGGTAAACTCAAAAACCGTGCGGTTGATTATAACTGATATGTTAATCGATTTCCATCACCACCAACAATAAAATCAATAAATGAGGTACCAATTACCACTTAGTCGCGTTACGGACAGCCAGCGGAGGCGCAAATAAATAAACTATAAATACGTGGCGGCAAAGACGGCCAGATTAATATATCACTATCAATAAATCGGCGCGTGATTCTGTAGGAATAATCAAGCGGGCGGGTCACACCTTGAGCTTGATTTAGGACGCCTTGTTTGTTGCCGCCTCTACTATTGTACTCTTTTTTCTCGTAAATAACGGTCCATTCGATACGTTCGATAAGATGACTGTGGTTTAATAAGTAATTTATAGCGCATTATAAGTCAGAATGAAAGTAATTAATTAAAAGAAAAGATATTACAGAGATTTTCGGCTGTATAAAGATTAATGTTAATCGCTTCTTAAGGTACTCAAGTACATTATATTGTTTTTAATGTCAGAAAGTGGCAAACGAGCTGGCGGTTCACCTGACGTTAAGTGATAATCACCGCCCATGGAAATTTGCAACACCCGTAGGATTGCAGATGTGTTGCCACCGCTTAATAATGTGGGCCCCGGCTACCTCACTCACCAGACGAAACGCAGAAGTGCAACACTTCTACTTTACGCCAGTCTTCTGTGAGATCGTGGTACTAACCCGGACGGACCTGCCCATTCGTGCAACAGCGAACACTGTTGCGTGGTCCTACCACCGTTATATAAATATACTAGCTGCTGCCCGCGACTACGTCTGCGTAGAGGGGTGACAATTTAGGGTTGTATGTATTTTTGTATGCTGTGTCAAAAAAAATAAAAACAAAAAATTTTGCCTAAAAAATAAAAAAAAAATTAGGGGTGGACTACCCTTAACATTTAGGGGGATGAAAAATAGATGTTGGCCAATTCTCCACCCTGGCCGACAATCACGCTAAGGAGACAAAAATCGGTCGAGCCGTTTCGGAGGAGTTCAAGTTCGAACCCCGTGACACGAGAATTTTATATATTAGAAGATATAAATACCGTGAATCATTTATAAATATTGTTCTAATCTATCTTCTATGTATAAAAAAATCTTCATCCTAAAAACCCTACCAAATACGAATAATAAAATAAAACTTCATACTCGATATTTCTATAAAGTACAGACACTTTAGCAAAAATTAAATAATTCGCTCAGTCTTCAAAAACTACCTAGCTGTCAGTATTTACTTGCCTTTACACTTATCATCTGTACATATTTAGCTCTAAAGAGACTCAATGGCTTCAAGAGAGCAATCTCATAAATATTTTACATGTATGGAGCTTCAATATCCTAACCATGCTTTTACCATACACAAAACGATACAATATAACACATAATTTTCCGATAAATGTCACGTATCTCACGGCAAAGTTTAGAAAGATATCTAAAATTAAGACTATTTTCGTAATAATGCTGTCTAACTTAACGGTAAACTTCGAAGTCGATCAATAAACAATTTAAAAGGTTTAATTAAAACGCGTCTTCCTCCGTTTTTTTTTAGATTTTTAATCAACAGTAAATCAGGCTCGGGAATCGACGCTACACAAATTTTTAATTTCCCAAACGCCGTTGTCATCTAACGAAGACATATCGACGTTATCGACACGTTGGTACTCATTAACGGGGCACGTTAAAATTCATAACGACACTATGATAACGAGTGCCATAATTAATAGCGTTATTGAGAGCCGGCTAGAACGATATTGATAAATTAACGATAAACGCTACAAAGCAACGGGGATTTTGTGTTTTGAAATCATTGGCAGGTGATAGTATAGTTTATCGAACGCATTATATCACACGAACCTCATATACATAATATTTTTACATACTAATGCTCCCCTTATCGAGGGAAACAAAAATTAATACTACATTTCATTAAAAGAACGTATATTATAGATTGCTTCGTTGGATCCATGACCC